GCAGCAGCAGAAGCAGCAGTAGTAGCAGTGGCAGTAGCAGCAGCAGCAGCAGCAGCAGCAGCAGCAGCAGCAGCAGTAGCAGTAGCAGTAGCAGTAGCAGGAGCAGGAGCAGGAGCAGCAGCAGGAGCAGCAGGAGTAGTAGTAGAAGTAGTAGTAGTAGTAGTAGTAGTAGTAGTAGTTGTTGTTGTTGCTGTTGTAGTACCGGTAGCAGTAGCATCAGTAGTAGCAGTAGTAGTAGTAGTAGTAGTAGTAGTAGTGGAAGAGGTATCAACAATGACAAAAACAATAACAGTCCTGTGTTCGCCATGTTGCTGAGGTTCTACTTCTGCTCGAGTTTGGTAGTCTTTTGGTTTTTCTCATCGTAGAGTTTTAAAATGGACTCCCCCGAATTCATCTGAGCCGCCTGGATCCTTCACCTGTTGTACCTTTCAGGAACTTGCAGAAGCAAGTACGCAGCGGCGGCGATTCTCGCAACGCCGGGAAAGGGAGCCCGAGACCAATGCACCGAGGAATTTCGCATGATTTGGCCTGGAGCTATTTCCCCTGTGAAAGAATCTTCCCACGGTTTCGGGGCATATTCTAGGAGCCTGATTGCATTAATCAGTGCGCAAGTTGCCTACATGACTGAATCTATAGTGTCCAAGCAAATCAGGTATAGTTTCCCTGAAATACGCAGATCCCTTGCCTAAACGAGAGACCAGAATGCATCTGTCCTATAACTGGCCTTTGGTCTTGTTCGGAGGAGGAGCTTGGGGCGTGTCACTGGGCATTTCACGACCAAGCTAGTGAACTCGCCGGGTTTCGACGTGTTCTTTGCGCTGCTTGGCGGGCATGCATAGAATTCAGCTTGCTCGGCACTTGGCTGTAGCTTTCTCATTTCACGCCAAAGCAAACAAGCTCTGTTGCAAATCCAAGGTTAGTGGTGATTGCCAACGCAGCCGCTTTGATTTGTTTAGATGCCCTGTGCTCTCCACTCTTGGGATCGGCATGGTGGCCACCACCCATTCCGCACCCACCACCGTCACCACGACTACTACGCCACTACGGCTCCTCGGGCCAGACAGCAACAAGAGCCAGACCTACGTACAACGTCGACGGGCTACTGCGACAAATAGCACAACCGCGACAGCAGCAGGAACAGCATCGCCAACTAGTCTAACTAGTGCTACTGCAATTGCTGTTGTGGCTACTTCGGCTGCTGCTTGTAGTAGTCGCAGTACTAGTGGTAGTAGTAGTAGTAGTAGTAGTAGTAGTAGTAGTAGTCATAATAATAATAATAGTAGTAGTAGTAGTAATAGTAGTAGTAGTAGTAGTAGTAGTAGGCAGCCGCAGCAGCAGTAGCAGCGGCAACAACAGTAAGTAGCAGCAGCCGTAGCAGCAGCAGCAG